AATTTCTTAGAAAGTACTATAAATTACAGTAATTAACAGCTAGAAATATTTCAAAGACAAAAAAAATTGATTGAATCTCGAAATTTTATTAGTACCACATAAATTGAGAAAGAAGAAATAACCTTTATTATTTGAAAATTGCGTAAAAGATATTACAAATCATACAACAATAATTAGCAATTTAGAATGTTAATAGACATAAATTTTTTTTTACCATAGTTAACAATAATTAAAAATTTAAACTATTTTAAATTAATATTAAAGTTTGATTAACTCTTTAATTTTGTCTTTGTCACATAAATTGAAACAAAAAATGATACATATTGGTCCCGTGCTAGCACGGGCTCCGATGTTTAGTATATATATATGAGAATCCTAGGCCCATCTACGTACGCTATTGCAAATTAGGATTTCCTTTTAATTTAATTTATTTCTAAAACTAGTCTTTCCCTATCATGAAAGATTGTGACTTTTATAAAAGGTAGTGACATTTTCGAAGGGTTGTAATATTTCGAAAAAGTTCGATAAAACACAATAATCATTTGTTCACACTACCCTTTGTTTTCTATAAATAGAAAATTTTCCTCTCATTTTAAAACAACGAAAATTTTATACTTCTTCTTCTGGACAATTAAATATTCGTGTACTTTGCTTATGTTAAATGGCTCACTGACAAATTAGAGTGTCTACATGAACTAAATGTATTTGATTGGTAATTCGTGGTTTCTTAACAATATTTAGGATATCAAACAAATTGTTCTTGTATGTATAAAAAATGTATAGTGCGTTACATCCACAACTTGAGATTAATACAAGAGAATTTCATAATAAACAATCTCTATATGCTATGTATTCAGGGCAAAACAGAAGCTCGACACATGGGACAATCTTTTTTCCTCAACAGCCATTGTTTGATGCAGCCCGTATGATATTCGTGACCACACCCAAGTGTCCCAATGGACTCTTCATGCTCAAATTCTGCTTGACATATGGCACAAATCTCTTTAGTTTCTGTGGGATTATTTACACCATCAGCAACACAATGAATTCTTGTTTTAAAATACCCCAATAATATAGCATCATCCTCTTTCTCCTCTGTGTAAGCCCGTTGATCATCAAACAGTTCACTTGCTGGTTGAGAATCATCTGAAGAATTTGGTGATAATCCGCCATTGAAATAGTCTTGTACATGTTGCTGCATTAAGGCCCTTTCCACTAAATCGCGACTACTGACGTTAATAATTGTAATTCCGCCATTGTGAGAGTTACTGTGTGGAGAAATTGTGGCTTGTAATCCCAAAACGAAGGGATGATCGTGTTGTCGTCTTCTGGAAGAACGATCATAGGGGGATCGCCTACTTCTAATTCCAATCCTACGCGAATTGACAAACATAAATTGTGAGTGACTCATTGTTCAACACCAGATTTATTTATTTATTTGAAGAAACAGAGTATGAAGGTGAAGAACACAGTATATATAGAGTTGGGCATTCATACTTTCTTTTATGTAAAGTTTCCTATTTTATTTATTTCTCCTACGATTTAAGGATTTAATTTCCTATTTTTTTGTTTTTCTTGTTTTGGAAACTCAAGGCGGAAACAAAAAGTTTTCCTATTTTATTTATTTCTCCTACATTCTTTAGGAATAGGATTTAATTTAAGGTAAAGAGAAGTAGATGGAACATAAATTAATTTCCCACTAAATTTTTTTTTGTAAATAGAGGCTATTTAAATTATTAGTAAAAAAATATATATAAAAAGAAAAATAATGGAACATATAGTAGTCTCACCAAGAATACTTCAATGGCTTTCCAACAATGCTGAAAGATACATAATCCCATCGATAAGTGGTGCATACACTTTCTCCAATTGCTCAACCAACACAGAAGAAGTAGCCAAAACAGCACACCAGGCCTTAACACCCTGTAAAATATCAAAAAACAACAGTGTAAAAGTGTCATTGGTATCCAACATGTTGTCGATAAGTCTTTGTGAGATGCTAATGTTCAAAGTTTCATTGAAGTCGATATAATCGTTATGCTCCTTTTTCTCATTCTTACAGCAAATGTAGCTACACCTCCTCCAGTATTCAGCCCAATTCTAATCGTTCCATCCTTCATTACTGCTATCACTTCATCGATAGAGAAGTCAACACCAGCATCCTTTTTCACTGTCCAACGAGTCTTCTCTCTGCCATTAAGATCAAAACAATCCTTACAATCATCAAAGTCTGCATGACAGATGACTGATCAAATAACCATAAGTTTTACAAGTATACGCAGTCCATACAACAGAAAAAAAATGATGGTTTTTTCCATAAGCTCTGAGGAACAGGATAAGGCTCAACATATTCTTGTGGAGCAGCTACACGACATCTATGTCGATGACGTGGCTCACTACCTTTAAGTAGCAACTTCTACGCTAAATATTCATCATCGGCGCAAGAACTGTTAACATTTTATGACATGTAACGATTAAGAAAATCTTGAAACAGAGTACATGGATGTAAAATTGGAGACATGATTTTGTCAGAATTGATGTTATTTTGTTGAAGCAAGTGTTTCTTATGAATAATAGTATATTGTCCAGTTGTGAATGGAGATCAAACCACTGATAGGGAACATGTTCTGGCTATCCCCCAAAGATTTTGGCACTGTACAGGAATAGCAAAAGCGAAAACAAAATCCCCATTGCAATTTCTGGGTATCCCCCAATCCCTGCCTTATCATTATAATCTATGTAGCTCCCATCGGTATTAATCTTGATACTTCCTTGATTCGGCATTGTCCAAAGAACCATCCTGCTAATTGAATTTGGCCGGAGTCTCACAAATTTGGACCCATTGATAGTCTATCTTAAAGCAAATCCTTAGCCACTTTTACTATGGAAAGTGTTTCTACTTTCTCTCAAGTTGTTTGGTGTTAACAGTAATTAATGTCCTCATTATTGTCCAATTGCGGAGGACAGACTCATAGTAGACAAACGCCCTCCTCTTTTGCAGTCATAGAAGTTGGCATTATATGGCAATGACTCAATTTTGCTATTTAGACGCCATTCAAGGTCAAAGGAATGGTGCACCCCAAGGGGAAGGTGTGTGATGTAGACAGCCTACTGTAATGTACGCATTAGTGATTGCTTCCACAGCTCGAACCCATGACCTATAGGTCACATGGATACAACTTTACCGTTGCTCCAGGGATTCGCTTCGAGGGCCGCACACCATTCTAGGTTGACTTTGCAAATACAAGTATACCAGGCAAGTGGTAGAACCGTCACATGAAAGATTATTTAATGAAGCTTAACTTCCTATATCATATTCCGACTAAAATTTGTTTTCCACTTCACAATCAGGTTTCCCATGTCAAGCTACCTACAGTCTAGGACAATTGAATTTTTTCCTGCGATGAGGTACTTCACAAGTTCAAAGCTACGCCGTCATACCTCCAATAAGCACTAACATACTATTATTCGAAATTCTCCATAACAAAGTTATAACAAGCAGTTATGCTATGGATGCTGGCCATAAAAAAGAGGGGAAAATAGAATAGAAACTCACATATTGGCTGATTAACACTATTGCCCAATGTTCTCCCTTGTGATGAATTCTTTAAAAGCATCTTCAATCTGCTTCACCGCTATTTCTAAACCATAAGAAATGGAAATATATATACATTACATTCTTTCTCAAAAAATAAATTAGAGTGATAGAAAACGTAAAAAGCTCCATCACTGCCAAGAACTTAACAATCCTAATCAAGCAACCTCGATTTTCTCGCTTTCATAATTTCTTCAGCTATTAAATCACAATAATAGAGAGAACAAAAAGTTGAAAAGATACTTGAATAGACAATAAGATAGTTAATTTCCCTCCTCGAATCAACATTGCCAACTCCTGCTAGTAAAAAATCCAGTGATTGTATCCTACATTAACCAGTTTGCAAGTACGCAATGAGAACATGAATTTGAAATTCCAATTTCCCTGCAATTGCAATAAGATCAAAGGAATTGACTTGTCGATAGGGGGCCATAACACTAACAGTATACTTGATGTCTCCTATTTCCACTTTGTAGTTTGTTGGAATCAGAAAGAAGATTTAAGAACATATTCAATCCAATGACACAATCCAGTTTTATACACCATCATTTACTATAATGAATCATACCCAATATAATCCCACAAGTGAGGTCTGGGAGGGTAGGGGATTTGCAAGACTTTATCCTTACCTTTGTGGGGTAGGGAGGTCGTTTCCGATAGACCCTCGTCTCGACAGAAAAGAAAAAAAAATTGAAGCATGGTAGCAAGAAAATATGACGGCAAAACAGCAAGATACAAATCAAATGAAAGCAACTAATACTAATACACATAGAAGAAGAAAAAAAGGAAGTGCAACAACACGCAACTACCTACAAACCTTCTAACCTAATCCTGACCTCCACTCCTTTTAGGTAACAGATTCAAATTGTAAAGTTAGATATGAAAGCATATTGATTATTAGAGAAAGATTAAATAGTGAATCACCTCATCAGCAATCATAGCAATGAAGGCTGAATTATTTGTTCTGACCGGTGCACGATTCACCATCTAAACTAAAATGATTGACCAACTACAAGAGAATTACAAACAAAAGAAAAAAAACTTTGTCAATCACATGTCTAAACCTAATTAGCAAAAACATGAATTTGGGGATTCTGATAAAACTTCAGATGCAAATTAATTGGGGAAGTAAAACAGAATCACAATATACTAATTGAACTAGGTTTTTCTGAATCTCGAAATACGAGAGGAGCCATGTAAATCAAATGTTGATAATATTCTAATTGAATCCAGACGAAACAGGAAATAAAACAGACTGAAAGAAACTCCGAATAGCCGCGCGCCGCCGCCGAACGGCCAAAAAATACAGACTGACCGGAGCATCAGCGCCGACGACCGGCAAAAAAATTTGGACCATTTCTCGATTTGTGCGTGTCATCCTTGCGCAGGGGCCATGCTAATCTTCTCTGTATCGTTCCAATTTTATCGGATGTCCCCGAAGGGACGAACTCCATTGCTTCGCTACTGTTCTTATTCTGCTGCAAACTTCTCACTGAGCTCGATGTGGAAGAAACGTAAAAGAACAGTAAATGTCGTTTTGGGTCCTTAAGTTTCGAAAACCAACCATTTCATCCTATTTTACAACGTTTATTTCAACATCATCCATTTAAGTATTCATTCCTTCAGTTATTTTGACAATTTTTATGAAGACTCAATATAAATAATTTGTTGCTTCTTTGTTATTAGTATTATAAAGAGCGAAAAATTCAGTAAGAACAGTGATCATTGATAAGATCATTCAAGTTTCTGATCAAAATTTGTTTTTTATTTGTTATAATCTATCTATATGACTATATCTAATGGGAGAGGAAAAAACGTTTATGTGTCAGCATTATAAAAATCATATTTTATTTGTTATAATCTATATATATATAATACGCTTATGTGTCAGCACCACAAAAATCATATTTTTAAATAATTAAAATAAAATTAGAATAATTAAATATAATTATTTTAAAACAATTTTAAAAATTAGTACCATGTAACTAAAAAACTATTTTTATTCTTTATTTTTTTTTAAAAATAATTATAAGTTAAATACGGTAAAAAAAATTCCCACAAAGGTTGATGATCTTTTTTAATGAACATTTAGTATAATATATATATATATAATACGGTAAAAAAAATTCCCACAAAGTTTGATGATCTCTTTTAATGAACATTTAGTATCATATTCTACTACTAGATATGAAATGCTCGTGCATAATATCATTCTGAAAGAACAATTACGACTTCTCTTTTGTAGTTTGATTATCATAACAAATATTCAAAAGTAGAATGGGAAACAGGGACAAGAAAAATGGAAAACACGAACATTTTGTAATATTCATAGCATCTAAAATCTAATATTACTAAATGTTCGTGTTTTTCATTTTTCTTGTGTGTGTTTTCCATTCAACTTTTGTAATTTTATTTTTATAATTTACTAAATGTTCGTGTTTTTCATTTTTCTTGTGTGTGTTTTCCATTCAACTTTTGTAATTTTATTTTTATAATTTACTAAATGTTCGTGTTTTTCATTTTTCTTGTGTGTGTTTTCCATTCAACTTTTGTAATTTTATTTTTATAATTTACTAAATGTTCGTGTTTTTCATTTTTCTTGTGTGTGTTTTCCATTCTACTTTTGTAATTTTATTTTTATAATTTTTATGTTTCCAAATGGGGAATCTACATACTAATCAAACTCACACCAATGGTAAGGCAACACAAAGAAGTCATCAACATTCTTGCGCAGAGTAAGCATTAGCCATGGCCCATGGAGACAAAAAACTCAAAATTAAAGGAAACTTACAAAAATTACACTACTTTATGAGTTAATTATTAGATACATTTCAGTTTGTAACATTACAAATTTTATTAGATTTTGATGCATTTAAATACGTTAAGATGCGTGCTCTTGATATATATGAGGTCAAAATTAGGTCTAATTTGTTTTAGATACACTATATCTAAGTGAATTTGCATGTATCTGTGATACGTAGACAAATCTGGCTCGCCACTCTCCTGTGTATCTGTTATCCCACATACATGTGAATAACATTGGATACATACAACATGTATCTTGTGTGATTCGCATTTATCTAGGATACATGACTATCTCGCTCACCTTCCTCCCTATCTCGCTTGCCACTCTCCTTTGTATTTGTTATCCCAGATATATGTGAATTACATTGGATACATACAACAACATGCATCTAGTGTCATTCACATGTATCTAGGATACATGACTATCTCGCTCGCCTCTATCCCTATTTTGGTGTATCTGGTAACAAAAATACATGTATTTAGTTGTATCTTCCTCAATATATAGTACAAAACTTTTAATTAGTGATAAGATACATAATTATTTGAAAGTATATGTAGAAAAATTACTTAAATACACAACACTTCTTTACCTATTCTCAATATTTCCCTACTCTTTTACTAAAATACAAAAATCCCTTATTTTCCCCCAATTCAACTTAACCGGATACTTTATTAGTTTAAGTATCCGCCCGTTATTAATTAAAGTATTTGCGCTGCTATATTATGCATCCGCCCGTAAATTTAAGTATCCATGCTGCTAACAACTTAATAATTTAAGTATCCGCCCGTTATTAATTAAAGTATCCCCGCTGCTATATTAAGTATCCACACTGCTATATTATGTATCCGAAAAACACTAAAAAAAGGAATTTTTGGTAATTAATGAAAGAGTAGGGAAAGGAAGTAATTTCTTTCTTATACTATGTCATTTGCCTAATTTTTATTATATATAATATGGATGCATGTCTAATAAGATAGTTTTCCCAAAATTAAAACTGAGCCATAAAATTTGGGTTTTGAAGCCATGGGAGAGAATTGGGCCGATCCAGTAGATTGTCCTTCGGAGCTTAATGCTGCATGCAACTGTTAGGCCCATTTGATTTCAACCCAGACTTCAAAAATGAGAAGATGATAAATTAAGGATAAACTACCTTAGTAGACATATATCGCTACTATATATACTAATATTATCTTTACTTTTAAACAATTACATAGATTACCACTTTTAATATTTTATACCATATATTAATATATTATTTAAAAATACAATTAGATACCCACATCCCTTAAACTATTATTGATTATTATCTGCTTAAATAACTCTTTCACTCCAAATCAACCACTATCTCTTAATTCTCCCCTCCAATGTTTATCACTCAATTATGTCTCCTCCTTTTTTATTCAAGAATTTCACCTTACAATTTCATTTCAACAATAGTTAATCTATTCTCTTCTTCTCAAGATATCATCACCACAAATTCTCCTGAACCCAAATATTATTTTATATTGTTTATTTATCACGAGTTCCAATCATAGTAACTGCTACTGAGAAAACTTTCAATTCATAGTGAATTTTGATTGTTTGTCTCCGAAAGAAATGGATCTTAATTTTGATTATGTTATGCCACAGTGCAAAAGGATCAAAGGGAATATTGTAGAGAGTGTTTTATTAAGAAAAATATAATTTTACTGGTTTTAGAGTCGCCACTTAATTTTTAAGAAAAATCTAATATTAATAGCCCTTGAAACATGTGTATCCAACAAGTAGTAATCTTAATTAAGATCTGAGTTGTATTTTTAGTAATGGGGTATCTGAACATGTATATGAATCCACTATTAAATTTCGGATACATGATTTTTAACAACACAATGATATTAATGATACGACATATACTCTACAATCGTGATTTGTTCATAGATTCATGTGTTTCAACTACATTTCATATTTAGATACACATAATTAAATGTACATGCTTATTATATATTCGAGATACATGTTTTTGGATATAACATATGCAATTGATACTTGATACATCAAATTCATACTAGATACATATAAAAGATACATGAAATTAATATTAGATATATATATAAATAGATACATAAAATTAATACTAGATACGTATAACAAATACATGAAATTAATGAGTTTGTTGGATACATCATATATTGATAATAGATACATCAAATTAATGAATTTATTATTTTAAGAGTAATAATTTGAAATTAATCAAATTACATTACCAAGATATACATGTTTTTATCTTATATTAATAATATTAATGAATTTACTATTTCAAAGAATAATAAAATGAAATTAATTATCTATGTATTTTGAAAATCCTAAATTACTCCTCTAATTAAGGAAATAAGTTACAACCAATTAATTTAAATAAATAAATTTTGTATCTCAATTTTAAAATTCGACAGATACATGTATCTCATGGATTCAGACTCATGTATCCTAATCATGAAATATGGTAGAGGAAGTAATATTTGAAACTATTGGGAATCTTAGTTATTAAGATCTAAACTAGTGGGATTTATGTGATTTGCCCATTAATTAAAAGTAATTTTTCCACTAAATTATACTCATATTTAATTAATTTTATATTTTTATATTATTATTAAATATCATAACTATGATAAGTCAGTATGATTGGATGTGAAGTTTTTTAACCAAATGCAAAAGGCCAACTTAATGCTAATTGACATGTCAGTCAATATCAATAAGGGGGTCCTCTTGCCTGCTAATTGTGCTAGTTCTTTAATGGACAATAATAAATAAATCAAAACATGGCACGTCACGTCGTGTTCTAATTTGTTAACTTCAAAATCCACTTAAAATAACAATTAAAGTGAATGGAGTTAACTATTTTGCCACTAAAAATATCGGATTATATATAATGCACTTGATTAGGACTAAAATGATGACAAATTATCTAACATGTAAGTCCAAATTTCAAACATTAGACAAGGACTTCAAATCAGTCTCCAATTTGCTTGTATAGTATTAGTGTAATACACATGTCTAAAATCAAACATTGGACAAGGATTTCTATGCTACTTCTTATCCTTGTCCCCTCATTAATATCTCAAACAGTACTAGCTTCCGTTACGTCATAAATATTGGAAAAAATTAAAGTTTTTTTTTTAATGAAGGTCCCAGAAACCGATCTAAATCAATTGTAGGAACATAAAAATATTTGAAAATCTAATCAAATTTATGACCGATTATAAAATCTGATCCAAAATTTATATACAAATGATAGCTAGATAACGCATGAAGAAAAACTTACTTTTTTGTATTTTCATTTAATTGTCATGTTTTAAATGTCAAGAAAAAATAAAGTACTTTTGAAACATCGCACACTTCATTATTTATTCTAAAACTAAAAAGCCCGTAATTTTTTAAAAATTATTTATTAAAAATAGATTAATGTGCTGAAGAAGGATAAATTAATCAAATTATCTTTTATACTAATCTTATCTTAAATGATGTGTAAAAGCTTATTCTGAAAGAGAAAAACAAAATATGAATAGAGGGAGTATGTACGTGGAAATGAAAATAAATCTATCAAGTGCAGTGTATGTACAATTAATTAGTTAGTATTGCTGTATATCACTATTGTCACTGCGTTAACACGAGAACGAAGAGATTCACTCGCAATTACATTATACCAACATGAGATTCTTCCACCTTAGGTAGATGTTTAGCAAGAGCGGACCTACGTGGGTGTCAAGGTTTTATCCGAATCTTCTCAGGCAAAATT